AGTATCGGGGCCGATACCAGGCATTATCACGAGTACTTGTACTCGTGAAAATACCCTGATTCTTAAGGCCGATTCTTAAGGCCGATACGGGCCCTTTAAATTTTTAAACAGCAGCGGCCGTCCGAGTCCCGCCACTTGTGGGGACCTCAGCAGCCTGCTGGGGACTTGCAGATAGCTGTCCATGGCAGTGCCTATCCGGTTCTTTATCTCCTCCTCCTTCCTGGCGCAGCCACAGCCATGGACAGCCACGAGGGCGGAACTACTGGTGGTGCAGCCAGAGCAGTCGGCCCTGGGCTAGAAGCTGGGGGTTCCTGCTGCCCACTGACAGGGGAGGACTGGGCCGGAACATTCTCAGAATACGTGTCCCCAAAGCAGAATTCTATTCTGCCTTAGGGACACGTGTTCGTCTGTGGAGACATGTGCTCTGCTGTGGGGACATGTATTCAGTTCTGCAAAAAGTTTCCCGCACACTCAGCCAGCATGCAAAGAAAAAAAACTTCTCACCGCTAAGGTTAAAAACAGAGGATTAGATACACGTCTTCTGCAGAATATGTGAAACCCGCACTGCCTCGCCAAGTCACCTCTACATAGTACGGTCCTAACTCTAACATATGAGAGTCTCCATCTTGGAGCACATATAGCAAAAGATAAAATTGGGTGCCGGTTTGCCAGGAGGTAGCCCAACCCCCCTGAAGGCACAGAGACACACAAGGGGGGTTGGGCTACCTCCTGGCAAACCTGCACCCAATTGTATCTTTTGCTACATGTGCTCCAAGATGGCGACTCTCATAGGTTAGAGTTAGGACCGCACTACATAGAGGTGCCTTGGCAAGGCAGTGCGGCTTTCACATATTCTGCAGAAGCTGTGTATCTAAAACCTCTGTTTTTAACCTTAGCGGTGAGACAAGTTTTTTTTGCATGCTGGCTGGTGACTGTACTGGGAAACTTTTTGCTGTTGTATTGTTTGAAGCTCTTCCATGTGCACCTTGCTTTAAAGCTGGCCATAAGTACTATCCTTGTCGCACTCCTTACCGATATGTCCCTTGTAGTGGGGGGTGCTCGCAGTGACCGCGGATGGCGCCGCGAATGTCAGCAAAATTGTAGAAATGTCACCAGCACACCAATTTGGTCATATGACAAAAAACTTCAATGAATGAAGCTTTTGCCATCTTAAAAGGATTGGTGTGCTGGTGACATTTCTACAATTTTGCTTTAAAGCTGGTGATAAGTTGATGAGTGCGTTTGCCATTTGTTTTGCATGTATTCAGTTCTGGTGACATCTGTATTTAGCCCTGGTGAGAAACTGCCCTAAAATCATCAGTCTGTGTTGTTTTAGAAAAAATTTCACATGTCACTTTAAGAAAAAGTATCGGTAATTGGTATCGGCAAGTACCTGGGGGGCAGTACAAGCTTGTATTTGGTCTTAAAAAAGTAGTATTGGGACATCCTTAATAGCAATGCAATGGCTGGAGTGAAGGTCAAGCATACTGATGGCATAGTACAATGACCAAATTGCCACGGATGACCAAAAGGACTGCAGCTTGGGACAACCCCACCACAAATACACATCAGAAACCTTTGTGTTGGAGACACTGTCAGCAGTTGGCAGAGGGGAATGGGAAGATACGGTGCAAAAATGTTGGGCATCCATACCATGAAAAGAGAAGTTTATCGTTTTTTTCCTGAAATGAGCTGAGACAGAAGAAGAGTGCTGAAGCGAGAATACCTTCTCCCTTTCCTCCTCCGACAATTCATAGCCTAGGTCACTTTCCCAGACCTTCATGTAAGGAGTGGGACCCTGATAGACCCCATCTCTCAGGAGACCATGGATAAGAGATAGGGCATGGAGAACTTGCTGGTCCCTTATGCACAGCTGTTCAAAAGCTGACAGCGGTCTATGTAAATTCGTAGCAGGAGTCAATGATTATATAAAATATTGAAGCTGAACAGCCTCATACCATGCTTTCATGTTTGTCTGTGTCTGAGGAGACAGGGGTTGGAGTAATAGAGAGCTACTGGGATGAAGAACATAACAGATCTGTATATTAGGAGAGAGTGACAGAGAAAGAAATCTAGAAGCATGCATGCAAGGAGGGAATGAAGGGATAAAGAATAGACGTGTACGGGGACTCAGTCTGGAGGATAGAAGACCCCGATGTATAATAGAAGATAGGACAGGAGGAACAAGAAAGGGTAAGAATGGAAAGGAGGGACAGGAGCCAAGGAGCAATTCCTAAGAAACATCACCTTCCAGAGTAACCCCAATCTTAGACATGGGAGGGGAAAACCAATCTACGAGTCTAGTAAGAAGCGAGGCCTTGTGTCAGAGAGAGAAGTCCAGGAGCCCCAAACCCCTCCTGTAACTCTTGAAATTGCTGTGTCCAACCTTTCGCCAAACAGTGATTTTCCGTCAAATTAAATCATGCACCATGTTTGTTTTGACGTGGGGTCCGCTGACCATGGTTTGAGCCAGAGTGCTCTTCTTGCTGTCACGGCATAAAGCATTGATCTTGCTGAGCTGCGAATCGCATCAATGGATGCCTCAACTATGAAGTCTGACACCAACTTCAAATAGTGCTGGTATGATCCTTTCTGGCTGCATCTTCTGATTTAAGGCCGACTCTCTGTTCTCCGTCCAAACTCTGATCGCTCTTGAAATTGAGGTAAATGCAACCAACGGCCTACAGGCTGCTGCCGATGTCACTTATGTTTTCTTCAGATCCATGTCAATCCTTAGTTCTAAAACATCTCTGAAAGAAACAGTATCTTCCAGGGGCAGAGTGGTGTTTTGCACTAACCTCATAATAGATGCATTAACCGAGGGGGCTGCCTCGAGCAGACTCGCCTCAGATTACGCTACAGGATATATCTTTGATAATTTATTATGCGGAGTTGGTCATTTGTCCACTGTCTTCCATTCCTCTAGGAATAAATCTTTGATTGCCTCCATGAAAGGAAAGTCCACTGCTTTTTTCTTTAATTGGGGAAAATATTTTCCCTTCTTAGACGGTGTCTCCACTTGTTCATCCCATTGGATAAGCTTGTTTGACAGCTGTCGCAAAGGCTTCCACCAAGGCAAAATCAAAGACAGTAGTAGCATTATCTTCTACCGACTATTCTTCATCTGAACTCTTCGGATCCTACTTGTTAGAGGTAGAGGGTGATCTGGCCGTGGGAGCCGCACTTGACTTACTTTGACACTGTCAATTTTTTAAGCCAGTTCTTTACGACTTGCTTAATTAGGCCGATTACATTCTGCTTCTGTTGTTCAGATTCTCCTGCAGCTTCTACCAGACAGTCGGCACATATTAATGAATTTGCATGCCCAGTAATGGCCCCCCTGGTGGTGCTGTTGTGAGGAACCGTGCTCTTAAAGGCGATTAGATCGGCATCTTTCGCTCCTGGAATGGCATGAAGGAGAGTGGGAGGAGTAGTGGTGTCTATGTGACTGAGTGTCTTCTTGCGTCTTTGTGCGGTTATGAATGTTCTGGGCTGTTAGGAACAAGCCATCGAAATCAGAAAATGCTTTCTTTTTTTTTCTTTCTTACCTGAGTTGGGTATCTTTATTTGGCGGTGACCTGTCCATCTTCTGGATCGGCTGCAAACAACATGATTGAATAACAGGAGTGGTGAGGAGAAACAGGCATGAACAAGTAGCATTGAGGCATAGTCTTATCGTGCTGCAACCACAGACAGGACTCTGTCAGTATTGATCTGTAGAGCAATCCTACCAGCAGCTGTGGCCATTTAAAAACCATGCCCTCTGCAAAAAAACACAACAGATTTTGGGCAATTTCCGATTGTTTCCTACATCTAAAATGGCCTCTAAAGACTTCTGAATGTCACAGCACATGCGCCGTGCCACGTCATCCACTCGCGCATGTGCAGTTGTCTACACCTCATCGGTCCTGCCTACCTACTGGATAAACTTCGTGCCGGCGTTTGGTGCGAAGCACCGGCATACCTGAAATCATGATGCTATCAGCAGCCTGCGTTCCACATTGAGGAGACAGGATGTCCTGGGTAAAGTTGCTCCATGATCGTTGTACACGGAATGTTTACCGCTTCAAAACCACACAGTATTGAGGTAATTATTCTGCTCCAGATCTGGTCTGGACATGGTGTGAACATAGCCTCAAGGGGCCAAAAAGATACCCAGAAAACTGGACCTCCACAACTTATCTGGTGCATTTAGCAGCCTAAGCGTGCGGACTCCTCAGCGTGCAGACTATACCCAGGAGAGCATGAACCTGGATGGCTCGGCTGATATACAGCACCGTAAGGAGTCACGAATCTGGTTCCAAAGGTCTTGAGGACAAAAAAAAGGAATACGTGAGTAAGGGGTGTGGAAAATGTATGGAGTACGTTCCTGAGGGTTGGTTGTGGTTGGGGAACCAACCATATGTATACTGCCATGTAGGTACCAGGAAAACTGACTTATCAGTTAAAATTGCGTCCAACTTTCTCTGCGGACTACAGAACACCTCCACCCTATGTTATAGATTAAAGGAAATAGGGAAGAGCTTAGAAGTCCGAAAACACTGTCTGTACTAGGGCGATAAGGCTGCTCCTGCACAGATACAAAACAGTAAGTGAGCGTTGTTACTCTAGGACAGCAAGTACGTTATTCACGTGATCACCAGGTTCAAATAAAGGGAAAAAAGACAGCTCGCAGGAAGTTACAAGAACACTGCATTTTAGGCAAGATCAACATGTATTTTCTATCCTTGCTAAAAATGTTCTTAGCTTGAAAAGTGGAAAAAATGCAACCACTACATATAAGGACTGACAAACTGCAATATATTACATTTTCTTCTTGGGTGAAGATATGCTTTAAGTTTCGTGAATAAAAAATACAGCAAAATGATAAAATGTACAATTCAGGAATATGTAGAACATTACAAAATTTGCTATTTTGGTAACTTTCACAACCAAATAAATTTTAACTGCAGTACACATCTGTGGATCTTATAATTTTAGTGTATTGTATTTCAACTCACCTGACTACAGTCCACACTAGACTAAGAAGAAAATAGGCCATTGTTGTTACAAGATATGCCAGAGGAATATTATAGGAGAAATCAAGCAGATTGACAGATGTGTTCTTGTAATACCCATAAAACATGTATGTAAACTCCATAAAACCCTACAGGAAAGGCAGATGACAAAAGTTTTAAAAACCTTTTAAGCGATGTAATGTTCAAGACACATAGAAGGTGTTTTATTATAAAAAGCATTGCTTAAGATTAGCAAACACACACATTCTAATACACATTTGGCATATCTAACTAAATGTAACTACATTTATTACATTTACAGTATATGTAAGGCCAATATTTGTTTAGTTTTATGTAGGGAAAGGTTTAAACCAGGGGACTCAAACTCAATTCACTTGGGGGTCACTGGACAAATGTTCTCCCATAGGGGCTGCTGGGCAAATTTAATAAAATGGCACACTTCAAAACAAAATGTAACTATTGTGGTATTGTGTGGCAATCCCACAGTAGAACTGGGTGTTGTAGTCACCCAGGACTCTCAGCCAGAAGCAAGTTCTTGTACTGGGGAAGAGCTGACTTGCAGTTCTTCCCAGGTTTTCTGGATTTGGGATTCTGGAACCGTGAGATTTCAAAGAGAATTGGGAGGGTCCATCGTTTAGTAGTGGCCAGCACCTAATGATTGCACACCTGTGCACAGCCCTTATAAAAAGTGGTGCTGGCTTATGTTCATCCTGCTCTCAGTGTTCCCTGACCTGGTTCGGCTTCTTATCTGCTTTGACATCTGACCTCTGGCTTGGCAACGTTGATATCCTGGACTTTCCTCATTGTTTTTTGCCATTTTGTTTATTCAGGGGCGTCCTGAGGCTGGGTGACACCCGGAGCGGTAACCGAGTGTCACCCCGCCGAGACGTCATCGCGCACGCGCGGCAGTATTCTGATACCTGCTGGCAGCCATCTTGGTGATGGACGCCGGCAGAGAGAGGTATGCCGCAGGGTCCCCTCCTCTCGCCTGATACTGTTGGGCGTTCGGTCCATGACCGAGCGCCCGACTTTTCAGAGGGGGGTGACACAAGTCATTTTGGTGTCACCCCTCCAATGGTGTCACCCGGGTGTGGGCCGCACCCCCTGCACCCCCCTTGTGACGCCACTGTGTTTATCTGGTATTTTCATTAAACTAATTTTATTTTTTAAGATGCACTTTAAGTTTTGGTCTGGTTTCCTGGTTCCCTGACAGCAGAGCCTTGTGCAAGGTCTTCTTATGTGCCCCCCTCCCCTTTAGTAAAAAGCTGCATACACTTTTCAAAGGAACACCTGCAGGGAGACAAAAGTTAGATGATGGCAACCTCCTGCCGATGACATCCCAGGGGATGCTGAGGGCTGCAGATTTCAGAAAATGCTGTACCACAGTGGTGAGAGCATCTTTTTTCAGCAAGATTTATAGTACTCTAGATTCCCCAGATCTTGCCGGAAGAAAGAGAACATCAAGCTCACCTAGGCGTCAGTGGTGGAAGTCGGGGGAAATGTAAGTATACTATGCAATTTTTCTTTCCCCTACTGGTTTTTTATTTATCTTTATGTTGCTTTTCTGCAAGGATGAGGAGGTCCACTTAAAAAGCAGACCTTGCATTTTAGCTGCAAGGTATGCTTTAACTGCTCTATTTAATTTTTTGTAATATAAAATATAAATACAGTGCGGAGAGATCAAAACTGGAGCAGACAAAATCTGGAGCAGCTGTGCATGGCAACCAATCAGCTTTTCTCTTCAGTTTGTTCAGTTAAGATTTGAAAATGAAAGAGAGAAGCTGATTGGTTGTCATGCACAGCTGCTCCAGATTTTGTCTGCTCCAGTTTTGATAAATTCCCCCAATATATCTACAGAACATACATTTTCCTACGCTGTGTGGATTTGACAGTAGTCTGTGCAAGTTTTTGTTGGTGTTTATATGTTAGATCACGCTGTGTAGGTTCTGAAATATTTGTCAGGTTATGGCATCTCTTACAAGTAATACCTCTCTTCTACAATTACACTTTGCAACTGTTTAACTCATTGTCAGTAACAAATTGAAACCAAAAATATTTTTTTTTAAATCTATAAGCAAGAATAGGACTACCTAATAAAAGCTACAACAATTGTACATCAAGGGCTTTGGCTGTTGGAATTTCCAAAAAATATAGTAAGGATATTACCAGCATCTATCCTAAATGGAAATGCATGTTTTGGATATTGAAACAAATTTAATCCCATTTATTCGTGTATGTTAATTATATAGTGATTTCTAGTAGAAAATGGTAAAAGGTGACCTGGACCACCTATTGTGCTGTAAAGACAAACATTCATTCATTAGAAGATTAATTAAATGCTTACCGTTCCCATCAGAATGTCCATGATGAATATGTAAAACCTTTCTAGTCCTTGAGGATAGGAGCTATACTCGAAACAGACATCTAAAGAAAAAAAAAAAACAATTACTGATTGATCTTGTATACTTGTTGAGTAAAACCTGCACCACTGTCCATCACAAACTTACCTTATCTCACATATCCTAGATGCAGACTTGTTTTTACTTAAATATGGACAAATGTGAAAGATGCAAATTCATTCTGTTCTATATTCATTAATACATCATGTAATTGTAATGGTTAGAAGTGCTGACCTGTTATCAACCTCTTGTGGTAGCTGTTTAGCAATCTTCAGACTGAGGGAAGAAGAAGCAGAAACAAGTTGTGCTGTAGTGCTATGAACATGCTGATAGGAGTCAAAGTGACAGAGAGATATGCTCATCATCAATACTGCTTCTCTTCTCACTTTCCAGTCACAGACTGGGGGTAGGCAGAAGACCTGTGAGTGTTGCTTAACTGCTTCAAGCACTACAGTTGCAGATCGCACTGGACCAGAATGCAGGCTGCTGTGCCATTGACTTCAATGCACCGCCATGCCCCCTCCCGCCCCTGAACACAGGGAGCCAGCCGGGTTTTGCTCCAGTGCATTCCAAAGGCCTAATGCCCTGGAATGCGGACTTTGTGGTGAGAACTGGCCCTAAGCCCAGAGAACCTATGTCCAGAGTCAATTGCGTTCCAGAGTCCAGTGCGTTCCTATGTCCAGAGTCCAGTGCGTTCCTATGTCCAGAGTCTAGTGCATTCCTATGTCAAGAGTCCAGTGCGTTCCTATGTCAAGAGTCCAGTGCGTTCCTATGTCCAGAGTCCAGTGCGTTCCTATGTCCAGAGTCCAGTGCGTTCCTATGTCCAGAGTCCAGTGTGTTCATACGTCCAGTGCATTCCAGAGTCCAGAGTCTGTCCTGGAGGGCAGGCTCATAAAGATAACCTGTCACCACCGAATGCTATTACACAGGGGTTTGTCATCCCCTGTGTGATAGCAATAAAGTTAAGTGAAAAAAGCAAAAAATTATATAAGAAATTAAAATGAAAAAAACTTAAAAAAACTGAAAAAAAGTTTTAAAAAAACGAAAACGTTTTTATTAATAATAATCCGCAGAGCCCAACTTGAGACCCCACCAGATCACCTGAGCCCCCACAGGCCACCTGAGACCCCCCAAGCCCGCTTGAATCTCCACACATCCCATCTGAGAATCCACCAGGCCACCTGAGACCCCCACAGGCCACCTGAGACCTCCACAGCCCACTTGAGACCTCCAAAGCCCACCTGAGACTCCCCACAGCCTGTGATGATTTCCCTCGGGGCCGGGCCTCCTCGGTCCTGCTGGCTTGTGTGGCGGCTGCTCCGCGTTCCACTGTGGAGCGCAGACGCTGATCGACTTCCGAATTGTGACGAGCGGCCTGCGTTCCACGCTGTAACGCGGAAGTCACATGTTCCGGCCGGCGTCTCCTCCCACCTCCTGGGGCTATTTAAAGCCCCAGCTCTGTCAGCATGGCGTTCAACAATTGCCTCTGAACGCCTGCTGACATATTGAACCCTGAAGAAAAGACAGAGTCTCCTCACTCTCTAAGGATCATCCTCCGGTGGGACCCACACCCTGCACCTTCGCTGCTCTGCCGACCTTCAAACAGCAAGTATAGCTCCGCTGGGAGCCTGTTACAAACTGTCAGCTACTTTGATGAATTCACTGCTGTGCTACTGCTGTTACTGATACCATTGTGGGGAGATTCTACAGTTGTTCGTTCAGGAGGTCTGCCTAAACCATATTGCTTTACCTAGAAGATTACCTACCGTTTAACCCGATACTACACCGTTGCCTGGGCTATGAGGGAATAGCCCATCTATTATTACACGTTTAACATTGGCTGTGATGCAAGAGTCTCAAACTCCCCCTTGAGACTGGGAGTGACGCCTGAGACTCACGACTGAGAAGCCATTACCTCCATACACGCCCTCACTCCCTCTCCGCAGTTGCGCTCCAGTGCGACCCACTACAGTAGACGTTACACAGCCACCCTGAGACTCTTCACAACCCTCCTGAGACTCTTCACAACCATCCTGAGACTCTACACAGCCATCCTGAGACTCTACACAGCCATCCTGAGACTACACAGCCACCCTGAGACTCTGTACAGCTATCCTGAGACACCGCACAGCCCACCTGGGACCCCATACAGCATCCCTGAGACTTAGCACAGCGGTCCTGAGACTCCACACAGCCCTCCTGAGACCCTGGAGACATCAGGCCACCACCCGGGAGCAACACAGAGTATGTAGCTTAATATTATTCTGCATTGCTGTATAATGTATTGCTGGAATTTGTAGTCCTCTATAGCTGGTGGTATTCTGTATTGCTGTATAATGTATTACTATGTGGTGGGCCTCCATGGTGGATCAGTGGCTTTAGACCCGCCTCTGCGCTCTCTTCTTTTGGTGCGGCAGCACCCCTCCCGATCCACCATGGAGTGTAGGCTTGAGCTCAATCAAGTCTCTCCTCCATCACAGATTAGAAGGGGCACCGCCGGGAAAATAGAAGCAAGCCCAGAAGTGGCTCCTAAATTAACAAAGCAGCACTGGAGCGCTAATGAAAGAATTACCCCCGGGTGCCTCATGACCTTGCTACGCCTCTGTGTCGTGGTCCCATAATTGCATAAAACATATCTAAGTTACCCAGGCCAGCAGAGTGTATAATAATGATATGTAATGACTGCATGGACGCTCACAATCACAATCTGTGTCCAGGTGTAAACTTTCACTCCCCCTCCCCCCAAGGGAGAAGCGGGTGGTAAAGTCCAGGCAGTGATGAAATGCCTTCTGTCTGTGAGGTGGGTGGGAGGAGCTGCGGAGTGTAATGTAAGAAATGGCTGGAAATGGGGGGATGCGGCCTCATAGGGTGATGTGAGGACTAGTGATGGGCTCGGGCGTGTTTGCAGCTCCATGCGCCGAGCCTTCTGGAACAGGGCCTCCATGGAGAACGCACCCCCCTCAGTCTCAGACATTCTTTTGGCTGATGGTACTATCACGTACCTGAGGCTGAGACTGGAAGATGGGGAGGCGTCCCTTGCGATTCGTGTCCTGCGACCCCTGGAGTTGGGAACAGAAGGGTGCAGGGCAACGAGGAGCACGAGTGCCGTAGGCTGGAAACACCCACTGCGTGGAGACAACAGTGAAGAGAAGTCAGGAAGCCAAGGTCAAATCCGGTCGGGCAGGCGAGGTACAAAATCGTAAGGCAAACTCAATATCCAGGAAACAAGCCGAGGTCAGGGGCTGGCACCAAGCAGAGAATAGTCCAGAGCAATCCGAGTCAAGGCAGGATAAAGAGACAGATACAGAACACAGGCACAACACTAAGCTAACAAGACCATCAGCAATGCCAGAGAGGCTGACTCCTCCTTTTATAGTCCCAAGGCTCACAGACAGCTACCTCACTTCCTGTGCGTTTTCCCGCACACCTTGCCGCGATTCTCGCGCATGCGCAGTTTGCCGCGATTCTCGCGCATGCGCAGTTTGCCGCGATTCTCGTGGTTTGCAATCGTGCCTTTACAGCCCCCCAGATTTGACCGTTGTATCTTATGTGCCCCCCCTACATATTGTTCCTAGAGTCGCCACTGTGCGGCCTCCATCAGCTTCAGTTCCAATCCAAGGTGCTAGTAATTCCCAAATAATAATGATAGCAACAGCGAGGAGATGGCTGACTAACTGTGTGTGGGTGCACTGTGCAGCTACAACTATCTATATCTTACAACAAGGTGGACTTGTTAAATGGAGTGCTCACTTATTCATACACTGTGACAAGAGGGCATATTAAAGGCTATTTTAGTTTGATTTGGGTGGACAGTGGGAGGCAGTAATTTGCTGTAAAGCATTTGTACCCTGTTGTGCTTCAGAACTATGCAGAATCTGTCAGCTTTGTTTTAAAAAAGCCACCATTGCTTCACTTTACTTAGCATCATTGTTCTTAAATAAACCTGCACGATTTGTATACAGAAATGCTGGTTAATACATGAAGGGCTTATGTAAATAGATGAATTGATGATTTTTTTCATGTCATGAAGCACACATAAAATGCAGGTCACCAGATGCCCATTTACTTTAATGACAGTCCTTGGGGTGTATATGACCTGTTTTGTGTTGCTTTCTTTGGACCCAGCCGCTTCTATTGGGATGTGTTTGCATTGCAAGCTAAGCATATCAAGCCTAGCCTTTCATGGAGTTTTGCATTGGAACACATGCATTTGAGCAGTGCTGCATTGAAATGCAAAGGGCAGTGATTGACAACAATACCCCTGTGGTTAGCAAGCAAAAACGTCCAGCATTATTGTCACATGTCCAGTGATTTTATAATAATTTTTATAGGCTCTGTAATTGCGCGAGGCACATCTAGACTACATCCTACAGGCTTGCCTACATGACCCCTGTATACGCAATAAAGAGCCAGTAAACGTACCTTTGTACAGAAGCTGAGATTGATAGATTGATTGTATTTTATTCATTATTCTATGTTAGCAGCCAGGCGTGCCTGCAGTACCGGTTATTCTTTCAAATGACAATAGAACTCATACAACACTGTACCCAAATCAAATATCATTTTTTTACACAAATAGAGCTTTCGTTTGGTGGTATTTGATCGCACCCTGCTGGGACAAATGCCTAGAATCACTCAATAGCACAGGACATCAAATCCACGTTATTGGCAGCAATTTCACAACTGAAAGCCGATATCCACTCCATAGCAGGCCGCCTCCAAACGGTCAAGGAAGACTCTTCCCGCCAATCTTCAGCCATCCGCTGTCTCCAACAATCGACCTCCCCACACAACACTCATTTACTGGAAATGCACAGGCATTTGGAAGACCTCGATAATAGAGGCCGCAGACGTAACATAAGAGTGAGAGGTATCCCCGAGACAGTTGAAGCGACACAGCTTGAATCTGCATTGCTCCACATTTTTAATGACCTACTGGATCGCCCACCTGAATCGCCGATCCAGATGGAGCGCTACCACCGTGCTCTAAGACCTAAAGGAGGTGACACAGATCCACACCGGATC